CTTCCATGTGTACTGGGAATGTGGATTGCCATTTGAGTTATGCTCTCAGTTCAAACATTTTCAGCTTTATGATTTGGCATTTATTTCAGAAAAGAGAAACTTTGCACTGTTAGCTACTGAAAGCTAATTTTTTGTTTGTTTGATTTGTGCATGAGACTTTGCTTAATTACCTCTAAGAGTAGTTTATGTAATTCTTATCCAAGGAATCTATATAATACTGGCTAGAATGAGATAAACTATTTGCAATGGAGTCTGCTTTGGTGCTAAGCTTTCTTATGGTGTAAACATCAGGCCCAGGGGCTCCACGTTGCAGGTTCAGGCTACTGGCCTTAATGGTGAACTCCAATTTACCAATGGAATTCCACCAGTGTTCATAGAAGCAGCTATGTCTACGATAAAGTTAGAATCTTGCATCTCCTTGAGCACAGTGGGACAACTCTAGCCCATTTGTGAATGTTGAAATGTTAGCTTAGGACTAGGCAAACTGTTTTTGGTAAAAAGCCAGATAGTAAATATTTCAGGCTTTTCAGCCATTATATGGTCTTTGACTTGCAGTCAAATCTTCCATTTTGGTGTGAAAACAGCCATAGGAACTACATAAACAAATTGACATACTTATGTTCCAATGAACCTAAAGTTTCAATTTCATATAAATCTAACATTGCAATAAAAATTATTCTTGATCTTTTCTCTCCTAACCCTTAGAAAGTGTAATGCATGCAGACAGGACAGAAAATGCAGCTGGTTCTCTTTGACCTGTGGACCATAGATTACTGACTTGTTTATAACATCGTGACCTTTATTACTTCTTTGATTTGAGCATAGAGTTTCATTTGGATTGAATTCACTTTTTCCATAACTACATGTTTCAGACCTGGCCTCTAACCAGAAATTGTATTTGGAAGCTCTTGGAATGGATGTATATGTATAAAAAGAGTTGTTATTCACCAAGCATGCCAAGCATTAAATGAGCAAACCAACTTGGAAGAATTTATTGTCAATCTTTAAGAGTTAAGGTTTTCATCATTATGTTGTACATTTGACTATGGATTCATGTTTTTCAAAAATTTTACTATTTTTATGTTACATGTATGAGTTTTTTGCCTGCATGCCTGTAAATATACCCAAGTCGTGCAATGTTCAAAGAAGTCAGAAGAGGGTGTCGCATTCCCTGGAACTGGAATTACTGATGGTTGTTACCTCTCATGTGGGTGCTGGGAATTTACCTCAGGTCCTCTGCAAGAACAGTCAGTGCTCTTAACTTCTGGGCCATCTCTCCAGCCCCAGATTCCTTTTATTTGAAGTGAATGTTACAAATAGACTTCACAACCCACTTTAAGGAAGATTGGCTAAATACATTGAAACAAAGACAGATTAACATATCTGGAGATTTTAAAAATATATTCAAAATAGAGGTTAGAAGCCAGATCCAAGAAGCTGGCAGTGACATTTTTTCTTAATGTTTAGTTTGCCTGGTGGTTTTCTTTTA